AAGGATAATTACAATTTGTAACAATATATATGCTAGTAATATTGATTTAATCAACATATCTCAATGTTCAACCCCCAAAATATGTATAATTGATTTTGATTCAATAAATAAAAAATAATAATAATAAATAATAATAAAATAAAACCCATGTTCGAAGAATGCGACATATCTCAATGTTCAACCCCAAAAATATGTATAATTGATTTTGATTCAATAAATAAAAAATAATAATAATAAATAATAATAAAATAAAACCCATGTTCGAAGAATGCGAGTGACCTGATATCTAATAAGCTCACCAGAGACCTTACTTCTGTACTTGTGTCTTCCTATAACATCTCTAACTCAGAGATTTCTTTGCCTTTAAGCATTCTTTCTCAGTCTGTTGGTGGGGGGCTGTGGAGGATAGGAGGGAATGCTGAGTACAATATCAGGCAAAACCAGTTGTTCTGAATCCTGGTTCACCTTCTCCCTCACTCAAGCATTCATTGCTCAGACTTCGGGCTTCTATTCCAAGCTAAGTTTTGCTCTGGGCACTGAGGATATAATTGGCAACAAGCCACAGTGCCTTCCCACAAGGCATTCACAATCTAAGGGAGAGACTGATAAGTAAACAGGCAATGACAGTCCATTGTGCTAAGTGTTATGAGGTGGGTAAACTCAGAGGGCTGTGGGAGCACAGGGGAGGAGTACCTAACTCAGCCTAGGTTTGGTCAAGTGAGACTTTCCAGAGGAAGTGACATTGAAGCCAAGCCCCAAAACTATGAACAGTAGTTAAGAGGCAATGGGAAAGCCTCCTAGGCTTGGTCAGAGATCTGGAAGCAAAAAGAACATAGCCCACTGGGAAGCTGCAGGAATATACAGTGCACGTGGGGCGGGGGGTAAGTGTAGGATAGAGGCAAGAAATGAACTGGAGGGATAGGTGAGGCCAAGATCAGAACTTTTCACATGCTGTGCCTAAGCAGCCCAGCCAGACCTGGCAATGCCTACTCCCAGGAGTCTGAGCCTAAGTCAAGTGACGTGTCCTGGGAAGACTCCCCAAGTCTCTTTTGAACACACTTGGTAGAAGGAGTGCTCCTATAATTACCGTGGTGATAATTAGAGGCGCTTCCATGGCCTCTTTCAACAAACATTGCACAAGCTATGGCCCTCTCACCTGGAGGGCAGAGAGGAGACCCAGGCACCCTGCCTGGGGGGAGCCAATGCCTGTGTCTCCTGCCAAGCATATCTGATTCCCTGGCTGAGGCCAGGAGGTGCCATAGATACACCTGGGGCTGCTCCAGCTGGGAACTGAGTGCTGCTGGCAAAGGGACCAAAAGTTGCTCTCCAAGTGACACAGGTTGGGCAGCCTCCAGCCAACACACAGGATTCAGATTTATTCCATCCTGGCCTTCCTGGGGGACTTCAAGCCTGCAGAGATCTTGAACAGGACCTGGAGGTGCCTTCTACATCTTGGTAACCTTTGTCTGAGATGCTCAAACCAACCGTCTCCGGGCCCACACTTTATCTTCCTGGGACCACATACACAGTGTTTCTGTGGCCTGGATACCCTCCCTGCCCTGTCAAGTGCTGTTTGGTTTTACAGGGTCTGCATTTACATGTTTTCCCAAGAGACACTTTGGGGTCATCTGGTGTAGATAGAAGAAATCTTTCTCCTCATTTTTGAACCCATACCCTCACCAAACCCCTTCTCCTTCCTTTTTTCCACCAGGTTTTTCTCACTGAAAATAATCGTCCCTTTGCTTCTGGGAAGGCCTCAACTTTCTTACCTCAGCAGCTTTTGTTCCATTCACCCAATACTAACTTTTTACTTGGCTTTGTCTTCTCTGACTCACTGGGAACAAAAGCCCAAGTGAATTGCCCAGGGGCTCAGAGTGTCACTTTTGTTTCATTAGTGACATGTCTGGTCTGTTTTGTTCTCAGCTCTCCAGAGAAGTAGCTTATGCATCTACCAAAGCCACTTGGGCCAATAGTTTCTGGTCTTTCCCATGGGACCTAAAGCCTCACTCATGACCCTTGGAGACTCAGAATGATGTGTCATGTTCAAGGGTATAGTTAGCTTTCTATAAAAGCACCTGGCAAAGTTGTAAGAGCTAAATGAATGTCAAGCATAACCCTTTGCCTTTTCATCTCCCTGTGATATACATCCCTGCATCCAGTGGGTTTTATGGCTGGGCAGATATTTGCAGGCTGGTATCTTTCTGTGAATGTTGAGAAGAAGGGTCACCGGTGATTTAGTATTTGCTTGGGGCCCTGCCTCAAACCCTCCCCAGGACCTTGATCTTGTCTGCTGGCCCTTTCCCAGGGCTCTCTGGTGGAGCTTTAGAGGAAACATGTCAAACCTGACTGGTCCTGGCACCTGTCAGTGGAGGAAGGAGGAAGGAGAGCTTGCTTCTGAAGGAAAAGTGTACTTGGCTTTCTCTTTAAAGGGTTCCCCTTGGGGAACAGGCAAGTGGCAGATGTATGGGCAATGGCCAACTGATCCACTGGAGATAGATTCAGGATGTGGTGTTCCCTGTAAGCCTGGGCAGGCCCTGGGAAACTGGAGTAGAGCTAGATCCCGGCCTAAAGTTGGGCAAGCTGCAGAGGAACTTGGGTATGCCAGTTTCAGCTGTGTAAGCTCTGCTTCCTGCAGAGACCAGGGGGTGAGGGGAGGTCCAGGAGGATTAGTTTGTCTGTTGCCCAGGCCTGCTTCTAAAATCTGGAGCTGTACTAACTGATCATTTTCATTCATGAACACAGTAAGTAGCAGTGAGGCTTAGCTAGGCCCTTGAAAGTCTGGCCTCAGTGTACCTTTTCAGTCTCTTCTGTCAACACTCCCCAGCACAAATCATCACTCCTGGATCCAAGATCACCCCAAACCTTCACATCTTGGGGCCTTGCTTCATGCCCTTTTCTCTTCCTAGAATACGTTTTGAGTTAAGTCTCTCTCCCTTTCGGACTGCCTCATTCACTCCTGGCAAAGTGTTCCCCAATGCCCCAGGCCTCAATTCATCTCTCCCTCCTCTCTTCCCCTCAGATCCAGATTCACTGTTGGTCTCTGGCCTAGCTCCATTATGTTTACTTCTGTGCCTGCTTCCACTCCTCCAGATGGGCAGTTCCCTGAGCTTTCTGCTCTTGTTGTCCCCTCTGCCAGAAACTCTCTCCCTCTAGATCTTTGCTTGACCAGCTCTTTCTCTTTCTTCAAGTGTCAGCTCAAATGTCACCTCCTTAGCCAGGCCTTCCTTGACCACCCTACCTAAAGTAGCCCCCACCCCCTACTTGCTCTCTTTCCCGTTACTTTATGTTATCATCTTCATAAAACTTAGCAGCATCTGAAATTGTCTTCAGTTATTTGTCAGCTTGGACTATATATGTCTCTCCCTCAAGAATGTAAGCCTCTGGAGGGCAGAGACCTAGCAGAATGAGTTGCCACATAGTTAGCACACAACAAATACCTGTTGATTGGTTAAATGAAGGAAAGCATGGGATATTCGACTTGGCACACTGAGGACTTGGCACAGAGCCCGGGTACAATAAAGGTTGGCTGCTTGGAATATTTGCTAAATGAATGAATGAACCAAGGAACGTGCAAACGAAGGAATACAGCTCTCCGCCTGCTGACTGACAGGTTGACTGACAGGTGGGGACCCTGGCCAGCAGACTGTTGATTGACGGTTGACAGCTGAATGACAGCCAGCGGATGAGCATCGGGGTTCCTGATTGACTGGTGCAGCAGCCCCTCCGAATGGGTCGGGAGAGGGGATACGAGGAGACCGCTCTGCGCTGGTAGAGGGGCGACAGGAGGAGCCGGGAGACTGTCCAACGGCCCGAGGCTGTATGAACAACAGTCGCCTCGAAGCAACCAGCCGACGTCTCCGCGCATGGGCCCGGCGCGAGGGGCGGGGCGCGCGTCACGTGAGCGTGTTGGGGCACGTGACCGCGCAGGGGCCCAGGTTCGCCCCCGCCCCCTCCCCACCTCCCCTCGGCGGGTGTGATCCGAGTGGCCTTGCCTCACCGCCTAGCGCCCCCCTCAGCCGCCGCCGCCGCCTCCGCCCGCTGGCCT